GCATTTGAGAGCTTTGGGATGTAAATGTGCCATGATGTGCAAATATGCTGGAAAGAGCCCCGGGGGGACCTAGGGGTTTAGATCCAGTTTAAGAGTCCTAACATATTTGCTTAGTCATCCTCTGAAACCAGGAGCTGCTTGAGATAGAAACGGCTACCAAGTTTAAAGGTGAACTCTGGGCTAAACAGATATCGTCTAGATACAAGACGCTTGCATATTCTTACTTGATTCTTGATCTCTTTTGTGCATTTCTCCCAGATCTGAGCTGTAATCCAGCACCAAACAGCTCCTGCATTTTTCCACAGAACAGGAGCTTCCTGTAATACAGATAAATCACTGCTGCTCTCTCCGATTGTGCAGGGTGACTGGTCTGGTAGTGGGTGGACCGGACGAGTCCTTCCTACACCTTTGCTCTCTGAAGAAATATGAACAATTATAAAATACTTTATTTCATAATAAAGTAATTATAAAATAATTTCTTTGTGTTTATTTGATTCCTATTCAAGAGAATTACTTTATATATATAGTCAATATAGGCACAGAGGTAAATTTTTTTAACATTTTCTAATGGTGGTGTGCCTCGTGATTTTTTTCATGAAAAAAGTGTGCCTTTGCACAAAAGGTTGAAAAACACTGATCTAAAGGGTAAAACAAGCATGTGGCTGCATGAGAACACACTTCACTTTTTGTTTTATGATATTGTTGCTCTTTTATCATTTAAAAAAAAAAACGGTAGTCAACCTAAAACTTAAATAATGTAAAGTGTCTGCATGTAGTCAGTTGAACGGTGGCATACTGATGGAAAAAATGCTGAACAGACGGTGTAGTGTTTAATAGCCATCTCAATCATCCTGTTGCAAAGAGCAGAAACGTCCAATTTGTTTTATATTGTACTTTTAGATTTTTGTTGAAGCAAACATGTTTTTCTTAAGGTTTACATAAAAAAACCTCCACACACCCAACAAAAGGGCCATTCTCAATGGACCACTTTGCCTTTATCTGTTGTCACCAATGTCAATATTTCTCTCATTACAGTTTTCTTTAAATACATTGATGTCCTAAGCCCCTACAGGGGGTGAAACACATTAGAAAGGGCACAGGGGGAGCATATGTCAGCTGCATGTGCAAAAATGCTATTGTGGTTTTCATGGGAACGGGAGTGTAGCTCTATGTTTGTTTGAATCCAGAAGGCAAAGAAAGTGAAGGACCCCAAGTATGGCCAGCATGCATAGCTAGAGCGCAGCACAGGGCCTGCAATGCCACCGAGGTGGGTAAGCGAACACTTCATTACTAATAAAGCTGTACATCTGTCATTTGAAAATGTACTGTTATAGACCACAGGACGTTATCTGTAGGGAAAAAAACTCATTGTTTTCTTTAGTGGTGCTCAGACACATGCCCAGCAGTGCATAAAAAAAAAAAAAAAGTTAATGCACACCTGACACACAGGTCTACATCATGGGCCCATTGAAATTAATTAACGCACATAAAAACATGCATCAAACCACTTGATAATGCACACGTAGGTGTGAGTGCAGCATTAGGCCCTATTCAGACTATTCTGTTGCAATAATGCAGTAAAGGGTAAGTTCACCTTTTCATGAAAAAGACAAATATTGAACTCGCAACACCCTCCCCATTTCCCGCTGCACTTATCTGCTGTGAATGCCATCTTCTGTCACCCATGCGAGGAGGTGTAATGTTCTAGACACTTGAAAGCAGTCCTGGAAGCTTTGTAGCACCAGAATGCTTGCAAGGGCTAACCATTGGTCAGCGGAGGTCACTTTTTCTCTGAAAAGGTCAAATTACCCTTTTTAAAAGCAGATTACTGCAATTTTTGTCAATGTTCTGTGAGTGGGAACATTTATTGTAAAAAGCACCCAAAAACATAGTACAAACAACACAATGACATACCATGTGTTGTGGTGCACACTGTGGTGGAAGAGAAAAAATTGGGCTGCCTTAACAAAATGCATGGCTACGTCTGAATGGGTCCCCAGAGATGCATCTCTCAAACCCAAGAGTTGGAAACTGCCCTTTTAATAAAGCTTATTTAAAAAAATGTTTACCTGTCATATACATACATGGATGGATGGATGGATGGTGTTTCCTCACAGTGCTGACACAAAAAAAAACAAAAGTGATCACTCGTGTCAGACAGATTCCACGCTGTATATGAAAACTTTTTCTCTAGCTTTCTGCAAAACAAAC